GCAAACACGAAAGTCCACCCAACCGCTTTCCCTGAGGGCCATACAAAGACCACGTGCTCCGTCCAGCGGGCGGTGAGGACGGCGCCATCTAAAGTACAGACCCGGTCTTATCTCATGCTGTTTTTACTAAAGGTCCCCGGCCGGTTGGTCAATCCGTAGAGACTGAGCGTGGACTGGTGGCAGCGTGGGGCTGGAGGAGGAGAACGGGGGCAAGGTGACCTGCTACAGCCTTTCTTTTGGGGGTGACAAAGGTAGTCTCAAAGGGAGCGTAGGGACAGACAACTACGGGAGTCACGTCACCCAAGTGGTGATGTGGCAGCTGAAGGATGTCACAAAGAGTGGGCATCCTCATCCTCATTTTACCCATGAGGCCCTGCAGGGAGGGTGGGCGGTGGGGGAAGGGGCAGTAGCCTGCCAATGCTGGGCCCCATCGGATGAGCCAACTATGGGGGTCTGCAAGGCCGGGCACTATTCACAGGGGAAGAGCAGGCAGCCTCCCCATTGGAAGACCCATGGTTCCCACCCCTGGGCCAGGGGCCACTCAGCCACCGGGACCTTGCAGGTCCTCCAGGCTCACGACCCGCGCGGCCACAGCTGCGGATGAAGGGACAGATCCCCAATTTCCACAGCGTGGACCCCAGTGCCTCCACACGTAGCTGGCGTAGGCCTTCCAGAGACGTGTGCTGTCCACCTGCCCCAGGGGGTTCCCCACCGGGCGTTTAAGGCAGCAGCCTTCTGGAAGCAGGTCGCCCGTCTGTCTTCCGAGGCACCTCTGGGGCTTCAGGCTGCCGGCCTCATGGCGCCTCTCTCTTAGCCCTTTGTATGCACGTCACACGATGTGTTACTGAGCCAACGCCTGCATGTAGTGACCCCTCCTCAGGGGCCTTAGAGGACAGAGTAGAATTGTCCCAGAGGGTCCTCGAGGTGTCAGTCATTACAAGAGCAGTGGGCCGCAGCTTACTCCCCAGCCCCGAGGGCTTGAACTGGCGACCTCTCTGTTATCCCCCAAGCCCTCAGCCAAGGTCTCGGTCTCACTGCCAGCGAGTGGACGCCGACTCACAGTGATGGGAATTCACCGCAAGCTCTCAGACCTGCCCCGGGCACTGTACGCCCGTTTGCCTGGTCTCTCAGGCAGGATGAAAACTACGATTTGACTTTGGCCTGAGCCCCTCAGCCTGTCTCCTGTCAGCCAGACCCTGGGAAGTCCTGGTCCCCGCCCTGGTGAGGGTCCATGGCTTTGCTCTCAGCCGACTGCACAGCTGAAAAGCGGAGCCTTTGCAGGAAAAATGACCTTGAGCAAATGCATCCTGAGGGGGGTGGGGGGGTGCGGACCGGGGCCGAGGGGTGGGTCGTAGCCTCTCACTTACAGCCTGGGGAGGAGCTGCTCCCCCAGGTAGTCCCCGCCTCCTCAGGCCCTTCTCTGTGGCTCCATCACCAGGGTGCCCTCGCCACATACCCAGCGTGGCTGTCTCTCCTCTGTCTGCCCAAGAACAGGGGAACATGCTCTGGCTCAGTCTCGGGGGCGTCCAGGAAGTTGGCAGATTCCAGAGCCACTCTGTGCCTCAGTTCCCCCCTCTGTGAAGAGGGGAGGGCAACCAGAGGTCCACCAGAGTGGGTGGACACATACAAACTGCCCAGGGCCACACCCGGCTGCCCGAGTGCTTGAGAAATCCCATCTTCTTCCACTTGCTATTATTAGAAAGGTGTCTGCGTGGCACTGTGGTCAAGGGCTTGGCCATAAGCCACAAGGTCGGCGGTTCAAGCCCATCAGACACCCTGGGGGAGGAAGATGAGGCTGTCTGCTCCCATCAAGATGTGTGGCCTCAGAAACCCCCATAGGGGAATTCTACTCTGTCCTATAGGGCCACTGTGGTGTCAATTCATCCTTTTGATATTATTACTAGGAAGGAGAGTGGAGCAAGTCTGAGGGCCTAAGCAGCCCATCACCTGATGTACTGTCCCCTCAGGAGGAGCCTGCCCCAAGCTCTCAGGTGTGGCTACAGAAGCTGACGGAGAGCCACAGGTGGCAGGCCACCTGAACTGCTTCCTGCCACAGCCAATGGCCAGGGCCTGGTCTCTCGGCTGAGGGCAGGCAAGCCCTCACTGGGAGGGTTTGCCAGCCCTCTCCCCAGCAGCTTGGTGCCTGGGCTATTCATACCAAGCCACAAAACCAAACTCACTGCCATCGAGCCTGTGCTGATAGCAGACCCCCTCATGGGTCTTTGAGACTATAACTGCTGATGGGAGTAGAAAGCCCAGCGGTCAGAGCACTGGTGGTCTTGAATTGCTGACCATGCAAATCACAGCCCACACATCACTGGTGTGCCCGCCTCTAACACGCTGCTCATACAGAGGGAGCTGTGGGCCCAGCTCTGGCTGCGTGGTTGAGAGGGGTGCCCCCGCTGACCCACTTTGCACTGTCTTTCTTCCACTGTTCAGGGATGCCGGCCCTGCGTGGCAGTGCTGTCCTGAAGGGCAGATGGGCACAACCTCCTGCCCCCCACCCCCGCCAGGGCCGAGTCTGAGCAGGACAGACTCTGCAGGGCTTGAGGACAAGGTGAGTGCCACCTAGACCCTGCTCAGCAAGAGCCGGGTACCTTGGCCTCTCAGCCCCTGACCACAGATGCACAGCTGGCTCCAGAACCCTGCAGGCCTGGGCTTAGGGTCCCCGTCCCGTTCCCTGGGATCCCCGACCAGGCATCTCTGAGGGTCAGAGGTGATACAGGAAATAAGGGCACACCTGGCCAGAGTCACCTGGGTGGGTCCTGAATGACAGGCTTGTCTTCTGGTCTCTCTGGTCTCTCTCTGCACCCCCCCCCCACCCTGAGCCATTTAAATAATCAAATCTGTCCTACATCTGACAACCAGGGCTACCCACACACGGCCACTGTTAGCTCCCGGAGCCCCCAACACATCTGTCTGGTGCAAGCACTGAGGTGTTCAACTTGTTCCCCTGCTAACCACAGGGCTGGAGGATCGAGCCCGCCCAGAGCCATCTGCTGCCCAAACACCAGCCATTGCAAACCCTCACACCAGGGGCTACCAGGAGCCAGATCCGCTGCAAAGCAGCAGCTGAAGGTACGGCTGGGGCCACAGGTACAGAGGGCACCTGAGGGACAGCTCCCAGCAGCCAGGACCCACAAGCACCCACACGGATAGTTCTAGCACTGGGGGGGAGGGCCTCACAGTCACAGGGTTCTAAGAGGCCCCAGGACCCAGGGGCTCCCTGCCCCACCCCCCGCACCCCACCATCAAGGAAGACCAAAGGGCCACTTCTGTCCCTGTACACTCTAAGTAGACTTCCAGAGAGATTGCGGGCTGGGGAGGCCAGTCCCTTCTGAAAGGGACAAAGGGCCAGTGTCATCAGAGTGTGCCTCCTGGGTCCTCTACACCAGCACCCGGGCCGGGATGGCGCCCTCCACCCCCACCCCCACCCACGCTTGGAGGAGAGAAAACCAGGGATGGGTCCGTTTGGTCTTGGTGATGTTTTGCGTGGTTGTGTGTCCTCCCTGGGATGGACCATAGGCACAATCTGATCACAGGTGTGGCTCCCTCATCACAGGGCTGGTGGAAAGACCTGGGCCAGGGTCCCACCGGGCAGAAGAGACATCCCTGTGGGCCTGGGGCTTCAGACCCAGTGTATGAGACCCCGAAGGGCCCCACAGAGGCAGGGCCTAATGGGGAAGTCCCACCAGCCTGCCTGCCTGCCTTCCCTGAGTATGGGAGTTGGGGTGCAGGAAGCCGCCTCTGGGGGTGGTGTCCCTGGGTGAGCAAGCCTGAGTCAGGGACACAGGATGTGCCCCGACAGCTGTGAGGCTGGGTGGCTTCTACGCACTCCCAGGTAAACCCTGGAAAAAGCCCGGCTTCTGTAGGGTCCCCCAACTCTCTGTGCACACCCAGACATGGAGGGGCGGTGGGCAGGAGAGCTGGCTGGGACAGCCTGGCAGCCTGTGGGTGGCAGGTGGCCTTAGGTTTGTTGCTTCCTCATCGACAGAGTAAGGCGAGCCCTGAGTCCCCCACCACAGGTTGGCAAGAGACAGCATGAGATAACCCACAAAGGGTCCCTTAGCACAGCCGGCACTGGCCCAGGGAGGTGGCCCTGCACACCAGTCTGTCCCTACAAACCCAGTGACACCCCTCCTTCCCGCCCTCCCTCCAACCCCCGCCAGCTCAGGGTGGCATGGTCCTCCCCGCACTGTTCCCAGCCAGCCCGAGGGCAGAGAAGAGACACTCTCAGACCGCTCAGACCATAGGGCCTGGGCAGTGGTCCTTAAAAGCCGACTGAGAAAGAAACCTTCCACCGGCACATTCCACAACAGCGGGGTGGGGGTGCTGACCTGATGTGGGGGAGACGCCTGGGGAGGTGGGGGCTGCCAAGGGCTGAGGGGAGGGAGGCTGGCTTGTGTGGGGGCACCCCCTGTGGCTGGAAGACCAGAGTTCTTCTGTCTCGGCTGCATGCATGAGCTTGCTCCGGGAACCGGCCCCCCGCCACAACCGTGTCTGTGACCCCCCCACCCCACCCCCCAGGCCCTGAGCCTGGGCCCAGGAAGGTCCCCTTGGGCTGCATTTGCATTTACACTCTTGCAGGACCTCAGAATGAGTACCTCTGCCTGGCACCAGGGCCCAGTGGGTAGCTCTTGAACACACCCACCCACCCAAGGCACCCTGAGCTCCGGTCCCTCACTCTGGCCCCAGGAGGTCCCCAGGGAGCCTGTGAAGCCACAGCATGAGGTCAGCTGGCCGGTGGGACCAGGCTCAGGAGAAAACCTGCCCCAGCCAAACTACCAGCCGCCCTCCTGCCCCAGACCGGCAGGCCCGGGGCCCAGCTGGACTCCCAACTAGCCTGAGGCCTACGTGACCAGGCCTCTCGGCCCAGAGACCTCAAAACAACCACTCAGCACCAGGCGTCTTGCTGGCTTCCCCTGCCTGGAGGGCCCGGTGAATCCCACCTCCACCTGGTTGAGTCTGGGGCTGAGGGGGCGGCGGGTGGGTGTACTCACAGCACGCAGAGGGCATACGCCCGGGAGATGGACTCGCTGGCCCGCACGAGGAAGCTCCCGTCCTTGCCGGCTCTGGACAGCAGCTCCTCAGCCTTGGAGCGGGTGATGTTACCATGGTTCCAGCAGGGGACCATGGCGGGCAGGGGCCTGCTCGGTGGGCCAGCAGCCGAACCCCAGACCCACACGCCACCACCGCCACCGAGGGCCAACTGAGGGTCCCCGTGCTGTGACCTGCCTCCTGTCCCCTCACTGTTGCCTCGGCAGCTGCCACCACCAGCTCACTGCCTGACTTCCTGTTTCAGAGCTTGGCGAGGGAGAGGAAACTGAGCGGTGAGAACTTCCTCATTGCAGTCGAGGGGCGGGGGGGTGGGGGGAGCAGGGGGGAAGAGAGGTCCTGCGGCCACCTTCCCTCCGACCACCAGCCTGCCCCGCCCTCCCCTCTTTCCTGTCCCTGGGCCTCAGCCTCCCCCCCAAGGCCTGCCCAAGGCAACAAGCTGCTCCTAGGGGGTCTGCGGCTCAGGTCCAGCTACGAAGACGTTGGAGGGACCAACGCGATGGTCCCAAGGGCTTGTGTGGTGCCCCTGGGACGGCCATGCCCTGGCCGGCTCCCCCAGTTTCTGCACCCTGTGCCCAATGTGCCCAGTGTCCCACCTCCAGGTGGAGGTGCTCAGGGAGACTGAGAGCTGAGCCCACCCAGAACAACACCGAGGGCAATGACTCGGCACCCTGCCCTCCGTACCTGGGGAACCTGGGGGACAGGTCACACCTGTCTGCTCCTTCGGAGGGGCTAGAAGGTACAAAAGGGAATGGAAGGCGAACCGTTCTCCAGGGATCCCAAGTCACCGTGTCTCAGCTTATGAACGACAGTAGCTCAGGTGGGAGGCGGGGTGTTTACGGCACAAATGAAGGTCCGTTTTCCTCTCTGGACTTTGCAGGACAACCTGAGAGGTGAGCGCCAAGAGGAAGTCCCCTCCCACAGGACAAGCTGGCCGCCTAGCCTGAGGGCCGTGTGCACGCTGGAGCTCTGGGGCTCAGCAGAGCAGGGCCTGACCTGTCTAACCAGGCCTGGCTCAGCTCTGGGCCTGACCAGCCAGAATCGACCTCCTCAGCTCTGGGCTCGACCAGTCTAACCAGGCCTCCTCTGCTATTGGGTGGACCAATCAGATCAGGCCTCTTCTGCTGGGCCTCACCAATCAGACTAGGTCCCTTCCCCTCAGCTCTGGGGTTGACCAGTCAGATCGGGCCCCCTCTGTTGGGCACAGCAAAGGGGCTGTCTTGTAAGAGGACCAGGTCTCTGATGAACACTGGCCCAAAGATGCCAGACCCCTTAGACCTCAGCTCTCCCGATTGGACACCCCCACCCCACCCCCACACACAAGGTGCGTTGACCTGTGAGACACAGCAGCCCCCCAGCCCCACACTTGGACCTTGCTCCTCAGAGCGGGGCATCAGGGTTCCCATGTCAGGTGGGTCACCTCAAACCTAGCCCCTGCACACCCTGGAGTGTAAGACTTCGCCCAGCCTCGGTTTCGCCTTCTGCAGTGGGCAAAGCTGCACCTGTAGAACTTTGCATGGGCAGAGTAGTAAGGTGGGCTGGTGGGTTTCTGGGATGGAAGCTCCAGCCCGCAGCCTTCAGCAGCCCACCTAGTGCTGGGTGCTCAGACCTGCGACCAAAGACAGTAAGGCAGGAGCAAGAACCGGCATTCCAGGGAGTGGACCCTAACCAGTACACCCCCTCTCCCCATCCCTGCTTCTCACCAAGAAAAGGGCTAGATGGGGGTCTGTGAGTGGGCCAGATGGAGGGAGGCTCAGAAATCATGCCCCAGTCGAAGTCCTCCTCTCTAAAAGGGGCTCAGGGGCCAGGAAGCTCAGGAGTGGGCTTCTCTTTCCCCGATCCAGCCTCCAAACCGCCCTGGGCCCTCACCACGTGTCAGGCCTCCCTGGTCTCCAGATGAGGATGGCTTCCCAGCCACACCTGCCCTCAGCCGAGCGCCTTCCCTCCAGACCCAGGGACCCGAGGCCAGACAGACGGCAGCACACTGCCCTATGGAAGAAGCCAGTTCCTGTGAGATTCCCCCATGAGAGTTTCCGGGAAAGGCAGTTACGGAGGCAGGAAAAAATAAATACAATAAAACCAGTGGTCGCCAGGGTCCCTGGGGTGGGGTGATGGTGAGGTGGAAGGGGCCCTGAGGGTGTTTCCATGACTGTGGGTGCTGTGAGTTAGGCACCAGGCTGCTAGTCAGAAGGTTAGTGGTTAGTGGTTCAAACCCACCAACCCTCCAAGGGAGGCAGCTGAGGCGGTCTGCTCCCGTGAAGACTGACAGTCTCAGAGCCCCGGCTAAGGCCGCTGTGAGTCAGAATTGGCTGGTGACAGTGGGCCTGGTGATCTTTTTGGGTAGCTATTCTAAGGAGCCCTGCTGGCCCCATGGATTAAGCATTAGGCTGCCAACCAAAAAGCCCATGGTTCAAGCCCATCGGCTGCTCTGAGGCTGTCTGCTTCTGCACCAATTCCCAACCGTAGGACCCTGCGGGCGGGCTTCTGTCCTGCCAGGTCACTGTGAGCCAGAATGGACTGGGAGGCAGCAGGTTTGGGCTTTTGGTGGTTAATCTGCATGATGCTGAAGGGGCAGGTGACATCCCATCTGAGTACACGGTACAGAGAGGAATGTGTCCACGCCACTCACACAGCACGCGTGACCATTCAGTGAACAACACGTGAGCTGTCAGCTCATCAGCCGCGGCGAATGTGCTCTCTGTGCGGTCTCCCTGCAAACCCACAAACTGTGTGGATCAGAAAACAAAACCCAACTCACGGCTCTCAAGTCACCTCTGACTCTTCGTGACCCCGCAGGACCCCGCAGAGCACCTCTGGCGAGCTCTGGGGCCGTGCACCTTCCTCGTACTTAGATGCTGTTCAGTCAGATCCTCCACAGCCACCCTACGCGCAGGAGACGGAACACCGCCCGGTCCAGTGCCGGCCTCACCCTTGTTCGCATGTTTGAGCCCGTTGTTGCAGACACGGTGTCCGTCCACCTTGTCCGGGGCCTCCTCTCTGTCACTGCCCCTCCATTCTACCAAGCACACTGCCCTTCTCCGGGGACTGCTCTCTCCCGATCACATGTCCAAAGTAAATGTTTACGGGAGCAGAAAGCCTCCCCGTTCTCCCACCAAGTGGCTGGAGAGTTTAAACTGCTGACCTTGTGATTAGCGGCCTAACCTGTAACCCGGGACACCAGCAAACCCCCAACCAAACTCACTGCCATCAAATCAATGCTGACTCACGGCGACCCTACAGGACAGGGCAGAACTGCCCCTGTGAGTTTATGAGATTATAACCGTTGACAGGAATAGAAAGCTCCATCTTTCTCTCTTGGAGGTGGCTGGTGGTTTTGAACTTCTAACCTTGCGGTCAGCGGCCCAATGCATAACCACCAGGGCTCATCTTGGCACTACCCAGGCACCTCTGATAAGAACAGTATATCTTAAAGTTAAAAGAAATCTAACATCGCCCACGAGCACATCCCTGGGCCCTGTGTGAATGAGGGGATACAGACAATGATAAAGTGGGGCCTCCAGGCTCTGGCCAAGCCAGCTCTGCCCGAGTCCCGGACTCCCAGACTCCCCACAAGCCCAGCAAAGGTGTTCTCTCATCACCTCTCCTCCACTTCCCACGCCAGTCCCTTCTAGAGGAATCCAGCCGCCGGCAATACCTGCCCCTCCTGCCCCATCCCCGCTCCAAGCCCACGTCCGGCCCCTAGGCTCCTTGATCAGGCCATCTTTGGAGACCACCCCTAAGACCACTCCATGTCCAGACCCCAACCCTTCTCTCCCTCACCTGTACGACCATCATCCCTGCCTGTGAACTCCTCCGTCCTCCAGCTGCTGTGTGACGTGCCGCAAGCTGGGTGTCTTCAAACAGAAGGTGTGCATTCTGTCCCCGGTCTAGGATCGGACGTCCAGGTGTGGGCCACGTCTCCACCAGCAGCTCCTGGGGAGAACCCTTCCTTCCTGGATCCTTCTAGCTCCTGGGGGCTGCTTTCTGGTCTTGGCCTTCCTTGGGTTGCTGCTACATCACTCCGGTCTCTGTAGCTGCAGTCACACTGTGTGCTCCTTGGGTCGGCCCGTCTCTGTTTGCAATTTGCTCTCCCTATAAGGACCCCAGGCATACTGGACAGGGGCCCCGCCCTGGTTGCAGCGTGACCTCATTTTAAGATGGCGTCTACAAAGACACTGCTTCCAAATAAGGTCACACTCCAAGGTTCCGTTAGCAATTGAACACTTAACTGCTGCCTCTGTCACCTGGTGTTTGAGAGGGCCATGACTCAGCCCAAGAGCCCTGGTCAGTGGCTGACCCACTGTAGGCTTCTGTCAGGATTTGCAGCCTAAGAAACCCTATTGGGCCTTCCTGCTCTGATCTGTAGGTGCCATAACCCTACAGGGCTGGCCTGCTCTGATCTGCAGTGGCCATAAGAGTTGGAATCCACTTGACATTGATGGTGTGTTAGTCTGGGTGCATTAGAGAAACAAATCCACAGAAGCTCACATGTATAAGAGAGAGTTTTATATAAAGGGTAAGTACACATTAAGAAAACATCCGGACCCAGTGCTGCCCAAGCCCACAAGTCAAACATACACCCATATGTCCGACACCAATCCACAAAGTCCTCCTCCATCTCACAAAACACATGCAATGATGCCAACTGCAGGAGAAAAGCTGAGTCAGTGAGCGTGTAAGCTTCTCAGCACTGGCAGGGATCTCCACACCGGTGCTCCAGCACCCAGGGCTGCATCGGGGTAGTTCATGTGGCTTCTCCTCAGAGATGTCTTGCAGGAAGTGAGCCTTGCCAGCTGAAGCAGGAACTGGCTAAGATAGCTGCACCTGGTCCAACCAGCAGAAAGCAAGAGACCCGAGAACTCAAAAGGCGAGGCTCACTGAACCATTTATCTCTCCACCCTTCAATTAACCCCACACGTGTTTATCAGCCAGGTTGGCACAATAAACTTTAACTATATCAGATGGGTTATTTTTTGCTTTGTTTGTGTTTTAATATCCCGCCCAGTATAGATACTTTAAGGATGGTTTCCTCATTCTTAAGGCTCATCCCACCTTACTTCATCCCAGTTCAATCACCTG